AACAATAAAACTGTCTGCCGCGTACACCAAGATAGACTTGATCAGGAGGACATGAAGGAGATTTGCCAGGCTTGTGTCTGTAAATGACAGAAGGTGGCAACGTTTTGGAAGCTTTGTCCAATCTGAGCAGGAAGAACTTGTTTTGTCTTGTCTTCGCCCTAAGATTTGAAAAGTCCAGTTAATGGTGTTGACAAAACTGACCAAAAAAAAGTGTTATTTATTTATATATTTTTGTCACTATTGCTTGGCACAGTGTAATTTTGTGTTGTGAAGGCTGCATGATGCCAGGTCATTTTTTGTTGTGAGTAGGCCTGTCACTAAAAGATAAATAAGTAAAATCACCCCCCCCCCCCCCCACACACACACACACCCAATTCACTGTTGGCAGTTATTAAAACTGCACCTGTTCATTGGGTAAAGTTAATATTCTTATTTTTAAACATGCAGTTCAGTGCCACCATTGCTTAGCACAATGTCAAGTTGTGTTACAAATAGAACTGAATCAAAAATTAACAAAATAAAAGTTAAGTGCACCCCTAAAGTCATTGTTTGTGATAAATTGCGTCACATTAATTACATTATCTCAGTTATAGGAGTGAGTTTAAAAACAGGATGATGCCTGTATGGACTACCGGTAGTTGAACGAGGAATCTGTCTCTAAAATAGTTACTGAATCAAGTGTTTACATATGTAGGTAAATGTAGATGCTTAACAACTTCCGGTAAGAGATGTTGCTTATTTGGAACAATATGAGCGTACCTCATATTGTGTACTGTCAGGAGAAGCCTTTGGTTAAGGACTTTTTAGATTTATTGGACTCATTTAATTTAACTCAGCATGTAAACGGTCCCACCCAAGAGCGCGGACATACACTGGACCTTGTTTTAACTCGTGATATGGCTGTTAATAATCCTGTTATTGGTGATAATGTTTTTTCAGACCACATGCCAGTCCACTTTGAGTTCACCCTCCCCCATCTAACTCCTAAGTCGTGCAATCCTGCATGTAGTAGCCGGGCCATTAACCATTTCACTGCCGCACGTTTCACAGATGTTTATAACTCTGAAATGATAATTCAGCCCCCGGTGTTTCTCACCACCACGGAGGAGCTGACATCCCAGTTCAACTCTGTCTGCTAAAAGACTATGGATCATGTCGCGCCTATTAAAACCAAAAAATCAAAACTCAGAGCAGAACCTTGGCTGAGTGACGTCACCAAGGCCGTTAGGCAGGAATGTAGGAGGGCGGAGCGCAAATGGAGGAAAGACAGGCTGCAGGTCTCTTTTAAAATACTTAAAGAGAGTTGGCGCTGTTATCAGAAAGCAGTGAAAACTGCTAAATCCAAATACTTTTCTGATATCATAACATCAAACTCTCACAACCCACGTGTCCTCTTCTCCATCCTAAACTCTGTTCTCCACCTCACTGAACCATCACCTCTGGAAGCCTCGACTGAGCTGTGCGACAACTTCTTACATTTCTTTTTGGAAAAAATTGCGACCACCCGGGCTCTCATTTCCCCTCCAACTCATGACCCATCCATCCCACCTCAATCTGTAGCTCCTTTTGACCATTTTGAACCCATCACTCTATCTTCTCTAGAGCAGGTCATGTGCAACTTGAAACCTTCTGGTTCCCCCTTTGATGTGGTCCCCCCTCGACTACTAAAGGAGGTTTTTCCAACTCTAGGTCCGTCCATTCTTGATATAGTAAACAGTAGTTTATCCACTGGCGTGGTGCCAAAATCCTTTAAACAAGCTGCTGTCCAGCCTCTCATGAAAAAAACCAAACCTTGACCCCTCACTCATTTCCAACTTCCGGCCTGTCTCCAAACTCCCATTTGTTTCTAAAATACTGGAGAAAACAGTTGAGTCCCAGTTGAAGTGCTTCCTGGAGAATCACGCCATCTTAGAGCTTTTCCAATCTGGCTTTAAACCTCTCCACAGCACTGAAACTGCCCTGCTGAAGGTCTTTAACGACATCTTCAGATTCACAGATACCGGTGATTCTGTGCTCTTATCCTGTTGGACCTCACAGCTGCCTTTGACACCATCGACCATGAGATCCTCATTGCTAGGTTGGAGCAGTGGGTGGGTGGGCGTCACAGGATCAGCCCTCAATTGGTTCAGATCTTACCTCACTGACAGATCCTTTTGTGTCTCCATCAAGGATTTTAGTTCTGCAGAGGCAGAGCTTAAATGGGGGGTTCAGCAGGGGTCCATCCTGGGTCCCCTCCTATTCTCTCTATACCTGCTGCCACTTGGTGCTATTTTCCGGAAACACAACATACCCTTTCATTTCTACGCTGATGACTGTCAAATTTACTTCCCCTTAAGACACAATGGTACATGCTCTATTCAACCTCTGCTCGACTGCCTGGCTGACATCAGGGACTGGATGGCTTTAAATTTCTTAAGTTTCAATGAAAAGAAGTCTGAAGTCATGTTGTTCCCTCCCAACGACACGATCACAAACCACTGCATCGACCTTTCCGCTCTAACCCTGTCAGAAAAACAAAGAGTCACTAATCTGGGAGTGATAATGGACCCTTCCCTGAAACTTAACAATCATGTAAACATGATTGTTAAATCATGTTTCTTCCAACTGAGGTGGCTGTCTAAACTGAAGCCCATATTGTCCAAAAAGAACCTGGAGACAGTAATACATGCATTCATTACATCTAGGCTTGATTACTGCAATTCATGCCTGTTTGGTATCCGTCAGACCTCCATTGCACGACTACAACTGGTCCAGAATGCAGCAGCCCGATTTTTAACCAGTACAGGCAAAAGAGAGCACATTACACCAGTTTTGGCCTCACTGCACTGGCTATCGGTTCACCCTCTCGGTTTTCAAGTCCTGTTTAAAAACCCACTACTATTCAGTAGCTTTCAACACCAGAGGATCTGTGTTTTGAACCTGTATGCTGCACACTGGTTAGTCGTCATATTTATTATCTGCATCGTTTTTATTCCTATATTCTGATTTACTTCATTTTGTATATTGCTTTGTGTGTTACCTGTTGTTCTGTCTGTACAGCACTTTGGTTGGCCTTGTTGCTGTTTTAAGTGCTCTATAAATAAAATGGTATGGTATAGTATGGTATGGTAACAACCAGTTAAAATACACCAGAATGCAGGAAATGGCATCTATTTTATTCAAAATTTCCAAGGACCCCCCAGACCCCCTACCAGTTTGTCCCCCTACATTAAAAATGCTTCTGACACCCATGCATATGCATTATCACTAGACTGAGTGTTGTGCACACTTTTCATCACCCCAGCTTCAAGGTCAAGGTCACAAATCAAGCGTATAGGTCTTTGCCACAGTTTGCTGTTCTGTTGTATAACAGTTTGTTGTAAAATGCACCATATGTGGTACTCTTGAGATATGTTGCTACATCAAATTCAAAACTACTTTTTTTTCCCCCTAAAAACTGAACATGTTCTTGTTTTTAACTGGTAGTTTCTATGAATAACACGTGGGTTTGTGAGGCTTGCAGATCATAACATTTTCTTTTTATTTATAGCTTCTACAACAATCCAACGGTGGATCAGTTGGTAGAGCTGTTGCCTCTCAGCTAAAAGGTCACCGGATCAAATCCTGGGCTGGGACCCTTCTAGGTGGAGAAGTTTTTTCCTTTATTGCATGGGTTTATTCCGGCCCGGAATACCGGAGTACCCGGAATTTCCGGGTACTCCGTTTTCCTTCCACAGACCAAAAACATACACGTTAGACTGATTGGTAACTCTAAATTGTCCCTAGGTGAGAGTGAGACAGTGAGTGGTTGTCTCTTTGTCTCGATGTGTCCCTGTGATGGACAGGAGACTTGTCCAGGTGACTGTTGGATACGGACAGCAATGACCCCCACGATCAGAAAAGCAAGAAGCAGGTAAAGATGATGGATGGACAACAGTCCAACTTGTTTTAAAATGTTAGCTTCTTTCACAACTAATTCTGGCTTATGTCGGCAACAAAATAAGGAAAGTGAGATTTAAATATTTTGCAGCTGTTCTGTAGCACGCCTCGCTGCTGCTGCTTGTCATTCCGAGTGCAACTAATTAAAGGTTCATGACATCATTTGCAGCAGCACCACTTTGTGAGTCCAGTGACTCCAGTTTGCCTGTCTGCCTCCTGTGTTAGCCTTTGACCACTGGGTGTCATCCAAGCAGTAAACTTGCCAGAGGACCATGAGGTTCTCCTGCTGCATGACTCACAGCTGGGCTGGAGCAGACCTTGGCCTGGGCTCTGGTTGTGTAATGAGTCCGCCATGAAATCTTGCCCGCTAATATCCAGTCATGTGAGGTGAACCCCATGAAAACTGCTGCCTGGAGGAGGAGGAGGTGTGAGGACTGTGAGGAGCAAGGGGCTACCCTCCCCCCCTCTCCTTATGAATACCCCCCCCCCAGTGAAATGTATGGAAGCACTGCGGCACGCTGCGCTGCGTGGCTGCCTGGTTCAAAGGCAGAGCGGAAGATGGGAGGAGGGGAATGACTACAGAGAGGGAGGAGGAGGGGGGAGGACAGTTTCCTCTCTGTAACACGCTACTGGGAAAAAAAGACGGAGGGAGGGAAGGAAGAAACAATAACCAAGAGTGGGAGAAGGAAACACCGCAGCCCCTCCGCGCGCGCGTCTTCTTCCTTCTTTTAGCGCACGCTTGCGGACTAGAGCTCAGGACTGACCTCTTAGGGAGGGGGAGGCAGGAGGACATGTTGGAGGGGCTCCTCGTCTTCAGGTTGCGGTAGGCGCCCTGACACGCTCGCGCTCAGGAAACGCAGAGAGAGCAGGCGGGTGGAAAGTGCGCGGCAGGCTGAGCTCACGAGCCATTAGTGCGCGCGGTGTTCGTTGAACTGGTGTTGTTTTGGTGTGAAACAAGGCAGGCCTCACGAGCTACTTAGCTTGTGCTCGTGCTGGGGCTGCTGCTTTATGACTCCGGCTGGGGGGGTTAATAAAAACTTCCATTAGAGCCTTGTATCTTTGCGCTGAGCCGAGCGGAAAGAAGCGGCGGAACAAACAGATTTTAAATGTTAATGTCGACCGACGTCGCATCCATCATGCTGCCTGTGTCCCGGGCTCTCATGGACCGGGAGCTGGACAGCGCCATGGCCGGCGGGGTGCATCCCAACGCGGGCGGTGCTTCCGCAGCCGTGCGGGGCATGAAGCGAGGAGACCCGGAGCCCGACGGGCAGGCGGCGGCCGCGCTGCTGGACTCCACCGGGGCAGAGTGCAAGAGGCCCCGCATGGACGGCTCGGGAGGGCTCGGTGAGGTGGGACAGGTGAGACGTCCTTTCTTTGTCCTAATGCGTGATCTGTGCGGGTTTACGTGTGCGCGTGGTGCTTGTGTTCTGCGGAAATGGAAACATTTATGTGATGTAGGTGCTGCACTTTGAGGAATCCAGCTGCAAGATGAATAAAGGGTGTTCTAACCATTTGAAAGTGCGGTTCTGCGGAGACGCCATGAACAGTCACTGTCTTACCTGTAGTAGATGGCTCATTGAACAGCTTTAGGCCCCATCCACACGGAAACAGCGTTTTGTGGAGAGGTTTTTTTTTTTAATGCGGCCATGCACCCACATGGAAACAACTTTTTAAAGAGCCCCTAAATGATATTAAAAAAAAAAAAAATTCATGGATAGCCTAACCTAAGCTTTTGAAAGTGATGTCATCGACCCATGTCTGACCTACGCGCCCAAACGGGACAGAGGTAATAGCAATAATGACAAATTACATGACTGTCTTTCACTTTCTCCACTACAACAAAACCGCCCTATTCTGCATTGCTTCATTAAGCTGACAGAGCTGAGTAACAATAAAAAATGTCTTAATAGAAAAAAACAAAACGTCTTTGACACCAAATGCAAGCAGAAAAAGGATTTTATTACTTAAATGAACTAAAAAGATAAACATAGTAGAAAAACAAATGCTACATCTAGCTTATGCTGCTGAGTAGTACGTAAATAACCCTGCAATGTGAAATTGAAAATAGTGTAATAACTTATAAAGTCCCATCTACATGAACTGCTGTAAAACTTTAAAAATGTGAGCTTTAAGACAACACCGATCCTCTTTGGTCCTGGCTGCATTCAGAGTAGCTGTTAGCCATTACTTCAACTCTATTTTTTCTGTTTTTCCCAAACAGAGGTCATTTAAAGTGTTATCTACAACAGGTATGATGTTAACATTTCTACAGAGACCCACTTCAAAATGACAGAAATAGCCCTTTAACCCCTCAAACCACAAGGTCGGTGCTGTAAACAAACCTGACCGCTCATTATGTAGCAAAAATAACCCGTCATGTGACGGAGCCCTTCATTTGAACTTTGAAGGGGGAGGGTCTCCATGTTCCCAACTTTATTGTATGTGTGCGTGTGCACGAGTGTGAATCAGCCCATCTCTTTCCTAATCAGTGTGATTGCCTCACCTCTCAGATCCCGTGTGTTATCAGTGCAACTTTGATCTGAAACAAGCCTGTTTTTTCTCACCGGTGGCTCAGTAAACTTGCAGTTGTTGCCCTCGGCGTTGCCCTGAAATGGTCATATCTTGTTGCTAATAGAGCATCGCAGGACAGCAGGGGCATGCTTAGGATATCATTAGAGTGGATTATGTAGGCTGAAGTACTCTGGTGGAAGACAAAAAGCCATTTTGCCGTCACTGAAAGAGGCAGTAATGGAGGTGAAGTGGCCTGTTTGGGGGGGTGGGGGGTACTAAATGGCTGTCTTTACATCGTCATCCTGCAGGAGAGTGCTGACAGACAGGCTCAGAGAAGTCAGGCACTCACACACTTTCATTCATGCATGTTTGTGGGAAAGAAGCTCGGATCAATTTGTGCCTCTAAAAGTATCGAACCAGCTGGACAGTCTGGAAATGTGAGTGGGAAAGGTGCACCCCCCACTCCCCCCACTCCCCCTTCTGTTCCCTGTTTCTGTCCAAGCCCCCTCCCTCAGTCCCAATCTCTCAGTTGGAGCAGATTTGCCCTATCAGTGGCAGTAAAGAGGCTTTGTTCCCAGATTATAGGATCACATCTCGAACTGGATTTAATTTAAGAGACGGGGAAAAAAAACCCTGACTGAACGCAACTACATTCACAAGTGTCTGTCCGCACCTCTGAAGGCAAAATAATGTGTCTGTTAGCAAAATATCATGAACCACTGGACAGATTTTAGCTACAACATTGAAGTGAACCCAACCCACAACTAATGACCATAGCCAACACAAAAACGGCTGCAACTCAGTCTGTTTGAGAGATATTAAGCTAAAATCTGATGTGGTAGTAGCTGACGGTCATTAACAGCACATAGTGTGAGCACTGCACAGAGTCTCGTAATATCTCACGAGATTCCACGTTAATGCTGCTTACAAGGTCTGACCAAAATGGCCGCAACTCCTTTCCTTCTCATCGCAACGTGATCTTAAAAGTCTGGCATGAAAAGATGCGGATGGCGTACATCCCCCGTAAGAAAAGATAAGATAATAATTGCGACATCTTCAGTAAATGAAGATAAATGTTAATTGTGTTCAGACGCTCTAATTGCCTGACAGAATTCTAATGATCAATTTCTGAACTAATTTTCAAGCAGGCATAATTAAAAAAAAAAAGCCGTTCTCAGCCTTTTTGTGTTGAACATTTGATCTCATTTGTTCCAGCATTTCTGTGCTAAAAGATAATCAGTTGAGAAAATCGGTGAATAAACTTTTAATGAAAAGAGACAAAGAGCACAGACTTAAATCAGTTGTTCTGTGACTCCAAAAAGTGATTATTAATCTCCTATCCAATGACCTAATGTGTTATTTCCACAGTGTTTTTATTCATCACAGATGGACTGTTCAGGCTTAAAAAGAAGTCATTTTTATTGCTCTATTCTTTATTACTTTTGGAGGCAGACGTTTCTTGACGGATGTTCAGTTTTCCAGCTTTTCTGGACCCACTTTCCCAGAAAGCTCCATAAAATTGGAGAGAAATGTGTCTGTGAAGTTAATCTTCAGAGGATGGAAAATATTACAGCAGGCCTGACTCTCCGAAGACACGCAGCAGTCTTCCTGCTTTAATCCTCTCCACGCTCGATGAAAGGAAGGAAGAAAAGTGTCTTTGCTGATGTCACGGCAGGAGTTGAACTCTGACCTGCGTGTAGTTCGGGCGTGGTTGCGGCGAGCGGTCCATTTGCACCACCGGAACCTTTTCCCATCTGATGCATCTGTTCCTTATTATAGTGTGATGTCCATCACTGCTGGGTGCAAAGTTGGCATGTTTTATTTTTTTTTAAAGTATTTCTGGCACTTTTTCATCATTCACAGTAGAGCTGGACAATATGGCCAAAACTTTGATCACGATATGTTTCTTAATTTTGGTCATAACGATATAATTCGATATCGATATAAACAATATAAAAGCCTCAGAAAAACTGTGCAAACTACAAATAAATTAAAGTTCACCTTTTATTTGTATCTAGCCTTCAAAGAAATTTTGAAATCACCATCAAATGAACATGAAACTCTCAACTTTGTCAATATTAATAACTTTAAACAACATAACCCTAACCAGATGTTTGCTGCATGGGTTTCTCTTTTGAAACAGCTGGGGGTGATGTTTCAGGAACACGTTGTCTCAAACTTTATTGTGCTTCATCTTCTGACTCTCAGCATCTTCTATTGCTTGGAACAAGTTAGATGTTCCCACCGCTAGTTGGAACGACTCTCCGTCACATTTTGCAGCTCACTGACTGAAACCTGCAGTTTATCGGATCTTGGATCACCAAACCACTTCCACACCGCTGAATTAGTCTTTCCTGTCTTGTCAGTTATGTCGTCTGCTTTCTCTTCACTTGTAAAACCTTGTTCAGTCACATTCTGACGGTCATGGGCACTCATTTTGAAGTGAAAACTTACCGCTCGTTGGGGATTAGCCTAGCCTGCTACAGCTGACTCCTTCTGGACTCGAGCTCTGCGTGTGGTGTACGTCACCTCGCACTTACGTAGTTGTGTCGTGACTTTTTCTGTTCGGGTTGAAATGGCTGCCGATTGAAGCGGTCGCTTCAACCCGAACAGTAAAAGAATTGTCAGTGAAAAGCTGTAATCATAGAGTAATGTATATTGAAATATCGAAAATGTGCTTAAAACTCGTATCACTGTTATTGAATAAAAATATATCGTGATATATATCAATATTGAATTATTGTCCAGCCCTAATTCACAGTGAATTGTTCGAAGCTACACCTTTTTTTTAAAATATACAATTTAAAGCGACCAATTTTAGGTGACACACTTAAAAAAAATGTTTACAGTACTTGCACCATCGCTGGCAGTAAAGAGGCTTTGTTCTTAGATCATAACATCCCAGACGTGACGGGGAAAATCTAAGATCCTTGGTTAAAAGAGTGGAGAGAAAAACGGACTGGGTTCACCCAAAGATTTATTGTCTACCCCTGAAGGCAAACAGGTGGTACGTTTTATTCTAGTGTCTGTCAATCTGTTATTAAAATATGTCATGAACACTCAGGAGAGTAATTGTTGGCTATACATCTGCAACTCCTTTACTTTTGAAGTCAATTCAAGATGGCTGCCACAGCTAACTCAGTTTTGCATATATTGAGCTAAACTTTGTTGTGGTAGAGTCAATGATAACTCGTATATTTACACATTGCACACATTTTTGCCTAAAACTTTGGCCTGCTCTTTATGTAAGCATCGTCTGTCTGTTAGCAAAATATCATGAACCATGGTACAGATCATAGGTGACCTCTCAGAAACTCATGTTTGGATGTACAGATATAACATGCAGTGTTTCCCCTGGCAAGGCGCTCATCCCTTCCACAGTTTTTTTTTGTCAGCTGGGTGTGTGTGTGTGTGTGTGTTTGGGGGGGGGGGGGGGTAGACAGAGACACATCTGTGTGCACGCTGTTTTTACCCAAATATTTTTGAGCAGGCGGGTTAGACCGCTCAGCGTGAGGGTAGCAGAGCATTGCCTATGTAGCTTTTGTGCTAGCACGTCTGTATTGTGCGCGGCTAGCTTAGCGCTACAGCAGTCGAGCAGGGTGTGTGTGTTGCGACAGTTCGGTAGGCAGGGCGCTCGCTTCCTTTGACAGGGCCGGACTCCGTCTTCACTTCTCCTGTGGAGAGTTTAAAACACGTTTCTCACAAATGTTCAGAATCGGTGGGGATGAATAAAATCTGCTTTGTGAAGCATTACTCCAAAAATTCTGCAACTTTTAGGAGCAGTGATCCACTGCAAGCTGAACTGGGAGCAAACAAAACCAGTCGCAGCTTCTAGGGGTGCACCGAT